CGTTGAAACTCGATTTCATATCCCTAAAGTTTGAAACATTTGATTTGTCTTCGTTTTCATTATCGAAATCGAATCCATCATTATTCCCATTTCTATGGGATCTTGTAATGGAAGCTGAATATGTTGTTATTCTATTTTTTATAGAATAATTAAAATACTTTTTTATTTTAATTACTGATAAATCGAGTAATTAAAAATTTTTTTCATTTTTATTACCGATTAATTGAGTAATTAAAATTTTTTTCATTGTGATTACTGAATAATCAAGTAATCGGAAAATATTCTTTTTTGATTACGTAATTAATTCATAAATCAAGTAATATTAATTTATTATTATTTTTTTGCCGATTCCTGATCTCAATTATATCTTAATTAGATCTTCATACATCAAATCATTATGAATTGAAGCGATTTTATAAGAAGGAAATAAGAGGAGAAATACTGTATCTATTTTCGATAATGTTCTTTCTTAGAAAATTAATAATAACTCAAATTAACAATAATCATGAATCATAAATCCGTAGAAAAAAAATCTGTGGATGAAATATGAAATTGAAAAATCCATATAATGGTTCATTAACTACGTTACTTATTCTTAAAATGATTACTTCCCGTATTGCGTATATATAACTTATGATTCGACAAATAACCGTCTTTCTCGCGTTTCGCGACAATTTGAAAAAGTTATTTACGGTTCATAGATTTTTTTAACATAACAAAAAGCGAATTGCAATATATAGAATATAAATCATATAAAAATCGCCCATATACGAAATATTACACAATAATGTAGAATTCTCGAACGTGTACGTATTTCTTCGTGGATGTTCTTTTTGTTTGCACACAAATAATTTTGCAAGATCAAAATTATTTGTGCCATGACAATTTTGCTCGGTAACGTTCTATTTAATGATGGCCTAGCAATAGACATCAAATCGATTAGCGCATCCATTGTTTAAGCGTTACGTAAAAACGTCATGCAACATTGATCGCTTCCTGAATATAATTGCACGGTTGCCCAGACATCGTTACTTCGGCGCTGTTATTTTTCTCAGATCGCAAAAGCCGCTTACAAAATTAAATTTAAGAAAGCGAAATGTTGCGCTAAATATTGCCGGTGCAATATCCCGTTGCTTCAAAAGAACATGGGAGCAGAACGCGACAGTGTCCATCTTAGATTTAGGAGAGGATTTTTCTTGAAATTTATTTGTCATGTATAAAGTTTGTTATGTTAATTCCAAGAATGTATGAATATATGAGGATTCTCGAAATTATATGAAGGAAAAATAGAAATATGAAAAATTCAGTCGCTTTTTTTTCGCATAAGATGTATAACCCATCCTGTATGAAAAAACCTAAAAAGATCATACTTATTCTTTAAAGAAACACTGTAATAGTTTTTACTTGTTTAGCTTGTATCTGATTGCTTTTTTCGATTGATTGAATACTTAATATTGAATGAGCATTTCTTTGTTACATTCTTCTTCTTAATTTAAGTTTGTGTCTTTTTTCTTTCTTCTTCTTCTCTCTCTCTCTCTCTCTCTT